CTACAAACGTAAATACATAGATACACAGATTTACGTATGCCCTACATAAAGTGTTCGATGTGTCATTAATGTGCATTTACAAAGGTGAAATGTAATTCTGATCAGCTTCCATATATACTTTATACACACACACACACACACACACACACACACACACACACACACACACACACACACACACACACATGCATTCACATACATTTGTCTCTCTTACTCTGACGGGATGAGATAGCTGGTAGAGAAACTAGTGTGCAATTAAGCACTTAATCACTGAAGGCGATGAAGGTGCTTTCACAAGCTCAGGTTATATAGTTACATCACATACATACATTGTATAATTGATACATTACATGGTTAATCTTGGGTACAAGTCCAATATATCATCAAATGTTCCAGTACTCGTATAGTAATTACACAGTTCAGCATCCTTATGTGTAGTGGAAGCGTGTTGAACAGTCTCGGGCCTCTGATGTTGATAGAGTTCTCTCTCAGAGTACCTGTTGCACCTCTGCTCTTCAACGGGAGTATTCTGCACATCCTGCCATGCATTCTGGTCTTATGTGGTGGTATTTCTGTGTGCAAATTTGGGACCAGCCCTTCTGTTATTTTCTACGTGTAAATTATGTATATCTCCCGCCTGCGCATTTTTAGGCATTTTAGTCGGTCCCAATAGTTTAGATGTTTTACTGAGTGGATTCTAGCAGTAAAGGGTCTCTGCACGCTCTCCAGGTCAGCAATTTCTCCAGCTTTGAAAGGGACTGTCATTGTGCAGCAGTACTCCACTCTAGGGAGCACTAGCGTCTTGAAGAGTATCATCATCGGTATAGCATCTCTAGTGTGAAAGGTTCTTGTTATCCAACCTGTCATTTTTCTTGCAGTTGTGACGGCTACTTTATTGTGTTCTTTAAAGGTAAGGTCTTCCGACATGAGTACACCCAGGTCCTTTACATTGCCTGTATTTTCTATAATATCATTTGATTGCATTTTATATGTGATCTCCATTTTTATATTTTGTTTTTTCTTATAGCGTAGGAGCCGGAACTTAACCTTCATTCTTTTTTTTTTTTTTTTTTTTTTTTTTTTTTTTTTTTTTTTGGGGGGGGGGGGGGGGGCCTCATTGAAAGACCTGATTTATCTCTGATTTGAGGTTTGCTGTATTCTCTCTGTTGTCTACTCATAAAAATCCTAGTGTCATCTGCAAAGGATGATACAGTGCTATAGATTGTGTCCTTGTCTTTATCCGATATGAGGATGATAAAAAGTACTGGAGCAAGCACAGTACCCTGGGGGACTGAGATCTTCACGGTTGATGGGCTGGATTTTATTTTGTTGACTATTACACATTGGGTTCTGTTAGACAAGAAATGCAGAGATCCAGATCTGGATCTCTGGATTCAGATCTGGATGGATCTGCAGATCCATCTGCCTATTTTTCCTGGATTCGTTTTGAACGCATTTTGTGTGCAATAACACCATGGTCACTTTTGTCGAAGACATTTGTGAAATCTGTGTATTATATCAACATTTTGCTTGTCATTCATGGCATCTAAAGTCATGCCATAGTGGTCTAGCTGTTACGGGGCCTAAGGGGTAATGGCTCTTTTGTCCATTGGCCCACCCTTAATTAACTAATTCTATAGTTCTCCCCCAGAGCTTCTACTGCAACCTCTCTAGTTCAACACCTTGAAATATCGGTATTTGATTACCTAGATACTACAAAAACAAGGCATTGTACCTGATCATTTTTTGTATTAATACATTGGGTACATCTGCATTTGTGCAGCTGCCCTAGATTATATGAAGGGGGAATACAGTGTGTCAAATACGTGATGCTAAAAAAATCCCCATCACACAGGATGGTTAGTCATAGAGGCATATGATAAGTAGTCTGCACTGACAGACTCTGGGTTCGTTTTGAGGATATCAACACAAGAGTGAATAAGGCAGCAGTGATACTAAAAGTCCCCATCTCGCAGGATGGTTAGTCATACAGGGTCATATGTTTAGTAGCCTGCACTGGCAAATTTTCGGTGCACTGTGAGGATATCTTCAAGAACACGAGAGTGAATAAAGTAATTGCAAAGCTCCAGGTACCTCATGCTAACTGGTCTGAAAGGTCTAATAACTGGGCATTCAGTGATGTAGTGCGGGAGATCGTGCCGCAGTTCCTGCTCAGAGTTTGCAACTGGAGTGCTCAGGATTGGGAGATCCGTCACCTGTAGCCACCTGCCACAGGTAACGGTAACCCAACTGTGGAGAAATGTCCGACAGACCACTGGAACATTATCTAACACAGTGCACAGTTAACAAACCCATTAAGATTTCAACTTAGATTCAACAGAGTAGAAGTTGTTGTTAAACACACATGGCAAAATCTTACTGAAGCTTACTAAATCTTACTAAATCTTACTAAATCTTACTAAATACGAGTCATAAATACATATACTCCGCCCAAGTAAAACAGAATCAAGCAACACTTAGTGGGCCAGCCAGAGGTTTAGGGCCCGTGCAGGAATATCCCTGAAAAAAAAAATAACCCAACCTGATCCTGGCAACCTCTGTGTCGCACAGTCTGGTGGACGTTTAGTGCTCAGTTTTGCGTGTTTTGTACTGATCAGCTACCAGTAACTCTAGAGAACTCTAATACTATTCACTACCACGAACGGAAAATAAAAATGAAAAGAAATGTAGGTATTAATAAGTAGGGTGAGGGCATGGGGCGAGGGAGTTAAGAGGGGTGAAGGGGGGTATGGGAGGATTATGGTCAGGGGGAAGGGTAAGTTAGGGGAAGGAAGAGAATGGGATCAACGAGGAAAGTAGAAAATAACATAGTAGAAAAGGTAGAAAGTAGAAGTAGAGAGGTAGAAGAGTTAAAGAGCTGCCACCATTCATTCAAGTTCAGTACATACAAGACAAGGAATAAAACTTGTCTGTACTCTAAGCTGTTATCAAATGTTTTTGCATGTATCAACTGGAATCATTAAGATCTTAAAACCAGTACTCTCAGCGGGCTGTCTACTGAAGCCTCAACTGACAAAGATCTAGGGAACAAAATTAAAGTGAGCTTTACCAACAAGCTAATAAAATATATATTTAACATTAGATCTTCATTCATAGGAATATTATATGTTAATCAGGTAAATTTATATGTCAACATGAATACATAAATGTGAGTCGCCACACAAGACATTGAAGACACTACGACTGACTGATCCTGAAAATCACACAACACCTTAAGTTGGAACCAACCCAAATGTGTCACTTTAGAGTTCAACTCACCAAAGTCTTTGAGACTAAGTTGGATAGAGAGGGGTGGGGGTGGGGGGGGGGGGGCTCGATTAACAGACAGTCCCCACCCAGCCTGACAGCCTTGACTGGCCTCGGACTCGTCCTGCTCGACCTTCGATCCTCTGTGTCTGATTTATCCTGAATGTACAGTTTCCTGGATATTTATGGGGGGAGGGTACCAGGAGCTAAGCCCCACCTACTAAGTAGATAGCTTCAGATTACCTACCACACCTTAATTAAATTAAACAATGGCTTGTTTGGTGGAAAGACACCACCACTGTAACCTGCAAGGCCAATTGATACGACCTGACCCCAGGTCAACTTGTGGTCATTAACTCCTATAGGTGTGACTTTTTAATTGCTAAGACAGTCTGGTGCCTCAAATATCATGTATGACTCGTGTTCTGTGTGACATAAATTTCCAAGCACCTTTATGGTGTAACACAGCAACTGTGATAGGCAGGAGCGCCCTGTTCTGAACCCGTGTTGTCCAGGGTTATGGAGACACTGATGACTCGTATTTTGTGATCTTGCTTCTTAGCACATTTTTTATTTAATTAATGATGTGTGATGTTAGTGCTATCGCCCTATCGTGTTTTTTTTCTCTGCTTCTTTCCCACCTTTATGAAATGGTGCTATCTCCGCTGTTTTTAATATCCAAAACCATTATCTGAGCTCCTTATCCAGAAAATGTTAAGAGCCTGCAATTGTGTTTTTTATTCTACAATTCATGGTGAATGTGGAGTTCCAGAAATGAGGATCTGGTACAGTGCATAGAAATACTGTTTATGGCTACTTAAAATTCAATGAGTTTAGGGTGTCATCTGATATATGATTTGATGTTGGTATCACATTCATGAAGAATTCGTTTGGGTTATCAATCTTCAGTGTGTTTAGTGGCTCGCTGAAAACGGAATCGCCTCAGTATTTCGCTCATTTCTTTGTTGTCATCTGTGAAAATTCCATCTCTCTTGCGCAGGGGCCAAACAACAGATGTAGTTCTTGTTCTAGATTTCGCATAGGAGAAAAAGTAAACATGAACGCATTTGTAATTTTTGTCATACTGTATTGCTTGTACAGTATTAACATGCCTGGTACACAGGGCCAAGGATTTGTCTCTACGTGGCCTGCAGCGTTAGAAAAATTACTAACGTTTTAATGTTGTTAATATTACTTGTAAAAGATTAAATGGTGTAGTTCACAAATAAATTACAATGGCATGATATATCAATGAGAAAATGGTCTTCTCATTGATGTCGTGCAATTCTGATTTCTTTGTGATCCAACAGATCACAAAGAATCTGAAGGGTGATGCTTACCAGCGATGTGTTGGAGGGACATAAGGTTGTAAACACCATTACCCGCAGGCCAGAGTGTAGGCGAGCCAATAGTAAAATCCGGGTTGGGCAATGGTTCAGGCCTCCAGAACCTCTCGGTGAATTCAGTAGCGTTCCCGGGTTGATTGGCATTTGTCCTATCGTGGCTGAGTGGGTTAAAACAGGTGTCTGGGAATCGCCAGAACGCCGGTCGAAATCACCTCATTGCCCCAAAATTATTTTCTCATAGTGTAATATTTGTGATTACTCTCCTCTCGTGGTTGTCACACACGTCGGTTCGGTTCTGTGACGAGTAATATAAGCCCGTGTTCTGGAGATAGTGTTGTCTGACAGTTCCTATAATGTGTGTGTGTGACTGATGTTCCCTCGTGGCAGATGTCTGACCTGGGCGACGGATGGGCAACAGCCAACATCGACCTACCGTCCATGCGCGCTGACCAGAAGTTCTGGTACCTGTGTGTTCGCGATAGTGACCAGGACCTGGCCTACCACCAGGGCAATGACCCTTGGATCACAATGTCCTCCTACAACCTCCTCCTGCCGCTCTGGATACAGGTATGGTCTCCCCCTGGCTCATGTTATAACCACCCTGGAGGCATGTTAAGGCTTGCCTCAAGCTAATGCTACAAATCACAGATGAAATCATGAATTAATCAGCCATTTTATCATAAATGCATAGTTCTTACATAACCAATTTGATTGTATACAATTAAACTCTTCTCTTGACAATGTACTTTTCAAATAACATTACTGTGTTAATGGTGGTGTGTTATGTTGTGGCAGGCGGTGTTCCTGGTGGTGCTGCTGCTGTTCTCCGGCCTGTTTTCTGGCCTTAACCTGGGTCTGATGGCGCTGGACAAAACTGAGCTGAAGATAGTGTCGAACACGGGATCACCAGACGAGCGGCGGTATGCACGAGCCATTGAGCCAGTGCGGCGCCACGGCAACTTCCTGCTGTGCACCCTCCTGCTGGGCAACGTCCTCGTCAACTCCTCCCTCACCATCCTCCTCGACAACCTGTCCTCGGGGCTCATCGCCGTCATCGGCTCCACTATTGCCATCGTCGTCTTCGGCGAGATCATTCCACAAGGTCAGAGGCGCATTGTTTTGTGTACAGTTTGACGCAGTATATTCCGAAACGTTGGAACATGTTCTAATGTTATATTTTTTATGTGGCTGTACCTGCGCCCGAGTCTAAATATATGATCTTGTAAATCTTATAGCGAACTGGACTGTTGCCAGTTACCGTGTGTTTTTAGTGTTGCAGGGGGAGGGAGGTTGTTATACTGAAATGGCAGTATATTATCCTCATTATGTTAGCATTGTACCGTAGTCAACACTGACGCCGGTCCGGTTGTGTCTCCAACAGCCATCTGTTCGCGTCACGGGCTGGCCATCGGGGCGAGGGTGGTGTGGCTCGTCAGGGTGCTCATGGTCATCACTGCTCCAGCAGCCTATCCTATCTCAAAGGTATTTATTGGGCCTTCCTTCTTGTTTACTTGTACCTCTCACCTACTGTGTGTGTGTGTGTGTGTGTGTGTGTGTGTGTGTGTGTGTGTGTGTGTGTGTGGACCTGTCACTCAGGGACCCAAACACCCACGGACCGACTCTGACAACCTCTGTATGCCTTTAGCAACTGACACACATTGAACTCGACTGGTTAAATAGGCAGCAGTAACGGTGTTTGTAGAGAGGGAGGCATACTTCAGGCCTGTACATAAACAGGTTAGGCATAAAATAGACCATATATAGATATTGTGGTGGTACTGTCTTGGGTATACTAAGGCTCATCTGCTTGTTCGTGTTGTTAATACATTGTTGTCTCTGACACAGATGTTGGACTGCGTCTTGGGTGAGGAGATCGGCAACACCTACGACAGAGAGCGCCTCAAGGAGCTTATTAAGGTAAGTAGTGTAGCAGTGTTCCTGTAAATGACCTGGTGACCTCTGGCTTCACCACCTGTACAGGACCTGGTGACCTCTGGCTTCACCACCTGTACAGGACCTGGTGACCTCTGGCTTCACCACCTGTACAGGACCTGGTGACCTCTGGCTTCACCACCTGTACAGGACCTGGTGACCTCTGGCTTCACCACCTGTACAGGACCTGGTGACCTCTGGCTTCACCACCTGTACAGGACCTGGTGACCTCTGGCTTCACCACCTGTACAGGACCTGGTGACCTCTGGCTTCACCACCTGTACAGGACCTGGTGACCTCTGGCTTCACCACCTGTACAGGACCTGGTGACCTCTGGCTTCACCACCTGTACAGGACCTGGTGACCTCTGGCTTCACCACCTGTACAGGACCTGGTGACCTCTGGCTTCACCACCTGTACAGGACCTGGTGACCTCTGGCTTCACCACCTGTACAGGACCTGGTGACCTCTGGCTTCACCACCTGTACAGGACCTGGTGACCTCTGGCTTCACCACCTGTACAGGACCTGGTGACCTCTGGCTTCACCACCTGTACAGGACCTGGTGACCTCTGGCTTCACCACCTGTACAGGACCTGGTGACCTCTGGCTTCACCACCTGTACAGGACCTGGTGACCTCTGGCTTCACCACCTGTACAGGACCTGGTGACCTCTGGCTTCACCACCTGTACAGGACCTGGTGACCTCTGGCTTCACCACCTGTACAGGACCTGGTGACCTCTGGCTTCACCACCTGTACAGGACCTGGTGACCTCTGGCTTCACCACCTGCCGCTCCGCAACTCTGGTCCAAAGACCTCGGGAGGAAATTATCAGGGGAAAGTGGCAAGCCATTACGCCTATATAGCCCTTGGAAGGGATAAGGATTTGGGATGGGACGGGGAGAAAGGAATGGTGCCCAACCACTTGGACGGTCTGGGATTGAACGTTGTTGTTGTTGTTTTAGATTTAGCTATTGAGAACAAAATGTCCATGTATGCTATAGTGAAGCCGTAATTGAGTTCGGTTATATGCGATAACCTTGTTATTGTGATATTTGGGTCAAAGTTTCAAATGGAGGTGGGGTTTCCTCCTTTTCTCCCGTTTCTTTTTCGCTTGTTTTAGCGCGCTGGTTTTAGTATTGTTTTAAATTAATAATATTGTCTTGGTGGCGGATGTAGATGCAGAATGTTCACTAGTGTGTCCTATTCTTCAACTGCTTTTATAATCATTGTAGTCGCTGTGGAATTTGCATCTAATGCAGCTGCTGTCGTTGGACTAATGTTGAGTTTGATGCGCAGGGCTTCAGTAGCTTCACATTCCAGTAAGTAGTGTAATAGTGGCGCCTCTGCTTCTATTTCACAGATATGACCCTCTTTAACTATTGGGTTTATTACCTCCCAGCAACACTTGTAACCAAGTCTGAGTCTGTGTATGGCTACTGCAATATGTGTGGATATTTTTGCCAGACTTGAAAGAGTAGTTCCCAGTGGCTTGTTCGTACCACATCACAGTGGATCTTCCTTCTGCTACTTTGGCTCTGGCGACACAATATATAGTACCCTTAGTGTATTGTATCACTAGTACCCTTAGTGTATTGTATCACTAGTACCCTTAGTGTATTGTATCACTAGTACCCTTAGTGTATTGTATCACTAGTACCCTTAGTGTATTGTATCACTAGTACCCTTAGTGTATTGTATCACTAGTACCCTTAGTGTATTGTATCACTAGTACCCTTAGTGTATTGTATCACTAGTACCCTTAGTGTATTGTATCACTAGTACCCTTAGTGTATTGTATCACTAGTACCCTTAGTGTATTGTATCACTAGTACTCTTAGTGTATTGTATCACTAGTACCCTTAGTGTATTGTATCACTAGTACCCTTAGTGTATTGTATCACTAGTACCCTTAGTGTATTGTATCACTAGTACCCTTAGTGTATTGTATCACTAGTACCCTTAGTGTATTGTATCACTAGTACCCTTAGTGTATTGTATCACTATGTATAGTAGCACTTCCTACTGGTTGCACTTGGTAACTCTATATAAAAATTGATAAAGGCCTTGAGGATATTAGTTACTGAAATTCTGGTAATGTAGATATGTAATAGGAATTGAAATATGGAGTACCACGGATGATTACAACCGGAACCAATGGTAACTTTCCAAGGAAATGCTACCTAGGGAACTTATTAATTAGATCACTGCCACCATCCTGTCTTGTTCATTAATTATATCAAGCAATGAGGCAAGAAACATTGCTTGACTTGGAGAGTCCTCTTTCTTTAACTGTCAATAATTATGGGACGGTTGTTAGCAAGCTTTATTCAGAGGATAAGAGGATCCGACAGTTGACACAGATGGAAAGTTTAACACGAGTTTATTGAGAACAAATTACGAAATTCACCAACTATAAATCCCTACTTTAACACTGGCAATACTGGCAATTGTTACGTGTTTTTAGACATGGAAACGTATCAGAGATCACACACACATTACCTTAAGACCACTCTCTGCCTCTCAGTCTGGTGGAGTCACTCTGTCTCCTGAGGCTCGCCTGATGCCCTGCAGCCTCACACTGCCTCCGACACTCCAGCACCTTATATCTCTCCTAACATACATATATATACAGGTTGTATATATACAGGGGGTATATATACAACCGAATCAGGAGGGGGGAGCGTTTTACACTGTTGTGGGAAAGTCTGATTCAGCCTACTCGGGAAAAAGTGTTTTGTACACCTAAATAGTTGGCCAGCACATCAGGGCGTCAGCTTCCCATGATGTGCAAAAAAGCACTCAAGATGTACCATTAAGTTGTTTGTCAAGACTATCAGGATTATTCATAAACAGGAACAATCTGACTAGGGAGGAGCCAGAAAATATTTCAATTAACTCTAGTTGAATCTGAGGTCACAGGCTGACCTTACCAGGACGTTCCCATGGTGTGTCATGGGTGTACTCTCTGGGCGTTACAACAATGCCTAGAGCGAAGATTTAGTCGATATGAATGATGACATCATGTAAATTATTCTCAATTGTATAATTTATGACATCCTTCAGGGCATATAATTTTGTTTGCAATGTTGAGAACCCACTATTCATGCTCCAGTAAGATTCATGCTTGTTAGTGTAAACTGCTGCCCCAGCAGAACCTCTTTCTTGATCAACTGATCCGTCTGTGACGATGTGAGTGGTTGTAGATCTTGAGATGATTTCCATTTGTTGTTCATTGACTGCTTTGAGCCTCTCTGAGATTGAACGCCATTCTGCATGAAGCGAGGCCGCCGCTCTACCGTCCAGCCCAAGTGATTGTGTAACACGGGGAGGGTTTCTCTATTTATCTTCCTTCTTCTCCCCCTCTGCCCGTATTCTTACTTTTTATTTCTCTACAAGGGACTCCAAAACTTTTACTAAAGCCGACTCCACGCCACGTGGTCCTAAGACGATTGACCGACTTAGGATTCTACAACCCGTATGACGTGACCTAGGCTTTGAGCAAAACCCTAGAGTCGCCTCCGCCGCCACCACCAGACCAGTAACACAGAGCAATGATCGAGGTCTGGATCGATCATGCTAATTAATCAATCTTGGGGCTTGATCCCCACTAGTAACCGATGACCTTGGAAACTTAGAGTGTGGAATTAATTACACGGTAAAGATGACTTCCGATTTGGTGTTAGAATCCAACTCTGCCTCGTGTGGACCACGTGACCAGGACAAGTTCACATAAACACATGGAAATAATAAAAATGCAAATTATTAACTAGTTAATTTATTAAAAGAAAACTAAAACAAAATCTAAATATGTTCACTCCCTGTCACTTGTAACACTCCCTACTTGACCTGAACGGCAATGAATTGACTATCCCTATAAGGATTCATAAAGCAACTCTACCTTGGGCGACCAGCTAGATGTTGGGGGCTGGTCTTGGGAGAGGTAAGATGGTTGACCTCTCCCCGTTGATCTGGAGTCCACACTGCTCTCTCCTCGGCTGGTCTTCCCAAGACTAGAGCATTGTATTGTTCCGCATCGCTTACCAAGTTACTTAGCCAGCTTTAGGTTATAACAATTAACCTCTGTTGTACTTAATTGATCCAGACTGGTTGAATTATTTTACTGAAGTTAAATTATACAAGCATCTAACGGCAGAGCTGTTCCCGATCCCCAAAATGGTTATTTGAACTTTGAGAAATAGTGGACATGTCAACCCTGATGACCTATGACCGCCGGTCACTCGCGCCTTACAACTTAGATCTGATTCGTGACGTCACTGATGGTGACTTAACTCAATAATTAGAATACTCTTGATATTGTACCCAGTAATATTATACAATACAATTTTAATACAAAATGAATAAAGGCTAATTTCTCTAAATTACTGAATACTATAGAATGGTTCATTATACGAAGCTATGAACAAGGCGTCGATTATTTTCACCGCGAATTCCCTGGGGGTCAGGTCCCGGGTCACCACGCGGGCTCAGCTTCCCATTCTCTTTTGTCGATAAACCACTCTGGATAATTCTTACAACCAGCCTAGTTTGTTATAATTGGTCCAAAGGGCTTGGGCTGGCTTTGTTCATCCGTCAGTAATTAAGTACCTGGGGAGCGAGACAGCTGCTACGAGCGGCTTCCTGGGTGGGTGGGTGTGTGTGTGTGTGTGTGTGTGTGTGTGTGTGTGTGTGTGTGTGTGTTTTAGACAAATATATATAGTAGATATGGCGGGAAAATAGGTCGGTTATTGTTGTTGTTTAAGATTCGCTACTTGGAACAAAAAGTTCTAAGCAGCACGGGCTATGTTGAACCCTTTAAAAAAAAAACAGGTCGGGATATTAGACAGCCGACAATTAGAGAGGCGGGGTCCAAGAGCTAACAGCTGGAACCTGCAGGCTCAGATGGTAACTACATGAACCGGAATGGGATAAACAGGTCAACACTCCGGGACAGGAAGACCCACACAGGTGCTCCCCGGGTGTG